TATCAAAAAAGTACTCCAGAGTGTTGTTCAGCATGGGGGTGAGTAGAAAATGAAGGCTAATCATGTTTTGGGTGTACTATTCCTTTAATAACTTTAAAAACAAACAATAACATTTTAAAATCTATCCTAAAAACAACCGGGAGCCAGTGCAGTGAGGCTAGAACAGGTGATGTTGTCACGTTTAAGTGTGCCAGCTGCATTTTGTACCAACTGCAGACGATGTAAAAGTGAGCGGTCCAAGCCAGCATATAAAGAGCTGCAGTCTCGTATTGATAAAAGCATGGATTACGGTCTCCAGATCTTTTTGAGGCAGGTACCCTTTCACTTTTGATAAAATTCTTAACTGATAAAAGCTATTTTTTACGACCGAAATAACCTGGCGATCAAATTTCAACCCGTCATCAAATATTACACCAAGATTTTTTACTGATGATCGAATGTTAGGTGTAAGAGGGCCCAAGAAGCCAGGGGGAAAAACTGCAGGACTACAAACAAACATTATAATTTCCAATTAATTCTGTTTAACTGTTTGTTCTCTCAAAGGAACTGGAGCGATTAGGACTGGGAGAGGCAGCAGAGCTTCATGTGTGTGAGCTACCTGTCGATTATCTGGCTGTTCAGAGCATTCTGCCCTCTCTGTGGAAACAGCACCAGCCTCAGGTATCTAACCTAGCATAGATTCAGCCAGCAACAGACACTCATTATTACCATGTTTTATTAGTTATTTGTGTTTTTATACAACATTCAATTCGGAGGGCATCTGAAACAAATATCTCAACCATCTTAGCTCTTGATGTGGAGAAGCAGCGATTATAAACCAGGGATGGTTCACGTGAATTCATAGCAGGAAACTGATTTACCTGCAGGATATCTTCCCTCTACAATCAGAAGAGGGGTCAAATGTTCTCGCAGCATTTTGCCAGGATGGTTTTGCAGAGATGTACGGTGGCCCTAAAGTGCAAACTGCAACTACAAATCTAAAAGCACAACTACATTAAGGAAATCGCAACTACATAAAGCAAAGTGCAACTACATTAAGAAAAACAAAACTAGATAAAGCAAAGCACAACTACATTAAGAAAAACACAATTACAT